TTTTAGGTCCTGAGCTTGAACCAAATGTCATGTTATATCTGGATGACATCGTAATTTTATCCAACTCCTATCTTAAACTCTTAGATAGACTACGCGAGGCTGGTCTCATCGTCTCCATTGAAAAATATAATTTTTGCCAACCAGAACTGAAATATTTGGGGTATTTGGTTGACAGTAACGGTCTTCTACCTGATCCAGAAAAAGTAGAGGCCATCGGTAATCTTCCTCCGCCTCAAAATACCAATGAAGTCCGTCGTTTTATAGGAACTGCTACCTGGTATCGTCGTTTTGTTCCTGATTTTTCTTCTCTTTTGTCACCCATATTTAATCTCACTAAAAAGAATTTTAAGTGGAATTGGAATGTTTAGTCACAGCCCCTGTTTTGACAGCTCCTGATTTTGGAAAGCCATTTTATCTGCACAAGAATGCACCATCTTTCGGACTGGGAGCCGTTCTTTCTCAAAAATTTGGCGAAGATGAAAAGGTGATCTGTTATCTTTCCAGGTCTCTTTCCAGACAGGAAATGAAACTACTTAGAAATTTAACCGATTCATTTTTGACTTTTGTCGTTACTTTGCCTCATCTCTATTCTTCAAGTCTGGGACAGCTAATTAATTACTTGTGATGAATCTTCTTTTTACGATTTGGTTGTTCCGAGGAAAGGGTCTCTCTTGAAGAATTTCATTTTGTCTTCGCTTCCTTACTCGCTAAGTCTAGCAGTACTTTAAATATTTTTTAAAACCCGCGATGTTTGGGCTATGCTATAACTAGCTACTGATTGTTTGGTGGGTCTCTTGGTTAAATTTCAGTCTCTACTTTCTTGTCTTTTTCTTCTACCCACTCTTTGGTTGTTCCGTGGTGGAGAGCTTTGGGAGGTTCTCTTGCTGGTGTCTGGTGTAAGGCCAGTGCAAGAGGTTCCACAATACGATAGGTGGTAACGTAACGCTGGCTGAAAAATGCACCTGACAACTGCGACAAAATAAAATTTAAATTAAAAAAAAATGCTCTAGAATTTTTCCGCCTACACTGGATACAGCGAGGGGGCTGCCTAGTGTTCTCCATCGCAGAACAACCAAAGCTTCGATAACTTCTTTTCTTTCCAAAGAAAATTTGTGGAAATTAAAGTCAAAGGAAAATTGAAAAAGTTGGGGTTTGTGCAGGATTTGAACCTGCGACCTCCGCATTGCTTTCCTTTACTTTTTCTACTTTTCTTTTCTTTACGACTTTGCTTATTTTTGCCTTTACCTTTAGCTTCATTGACTTTGGTTATCTTAACTTTGTGCTTTCCAAGGCAAAGTAAGCAAATACCCGTTCTGGGAGGAAACATAACTACCTTTATTATTATTTACCCTTTATTTGTTGTTCCTTGGTAGTCATTTTGATTTCATTTGGATTTAAATTATAAATACATATATGCGATATTCTTTAAATTGTCTTAGTTATCGAATTTGCTTAGATTATCGTCGGAAAAGTTTCTTTGTAACTTTTCCTCCTATCGTAGGAGAGGGGGGTTGTAACTTGTCAAAATTGCCTTCAACTATTTCACACTTATTTTCAGTTTTCCATTCAAAATTCCTATGGATATTTAATTTTTCTCTGATTTTATTAGGCCTTGTTTACATTTTTCCTTTATAAAAATTCAACAATAATTACAGTAATTGCAGATCCTGTAAATTTTCTAATCTTTATTATTTAAATTCTATTTTCACTTGTGACTAGTTCTTGTGACGACTAATAATTTTTCTCGATTTTAATCAATATTTTAATTCCATTTCAAAATCAATTTTCATGTGAATAAATCACCTATTCTTGGGTTAGGTTTTCCAAATAGTGGTACGTTCACGAATGTGTACTGCACGCGATACATAAAGTCTGTTTTACTCTGTTCGGTTGCTGAACTCAGTACCAGATTTAGTTCCAGAATCCGGTTCCATAAGCACCGGGTTGCTCTCTTTACTCTCTACTTTATAGTGACACTAAAGTCATCTCAATCATGATTTGTGTGCCAGCTGACTGCAGAAATGTCGTTCATTTTTATAAATTGGCACTTCGATTAGTAATGTTTTTGAGATCATCGATTCCTTTGTAAGCGTTACGTTCTGCAACCAACACGAATTGCTGATTCAATGTCGTATTCTTCAAATTATGATTGTTCCAGTGGTTAATTGATTGTTGTTATTTTATCATTAGTCGTCAGCTGTTGTCATTTTCTCAGATTATATTGTTGTGTGAAATATTTGGTACTTAGAAATTCTTCCGATTAATTTTTGACATTTGTCGTTACTTTGCCTCATCTCTATTCTTCAAATCTAGAACAGCTCATTAATTACTTGTGGTGAATCTTCCTTTTACGATTTGGTTGTTTCGAGAAAAGGGTCTCTCTTGAAGAATTTAACTTTGTCTTCGCTCTAAAGGGGATTTTCGACCTAATTGTCCAAGTTATTAAATTTATGGTACATTGAGTTTCCTTACGTTGCGTTACGTTCTCGTAAAGTGCCATAATTTCGCCGATGATTTCGGATTTTCACAACCATCCATTCGGTAAGTTTTGCTTTGCATGTTTTTCCCACAAGTATGATTCTGAACATTCCCTATTTTGATCTTTAGTGACGTGCCCCTACTCTCCGAATTGTTTAATCCTAAGTTAGAGCTTAATTCGCAACGCACTTCGACTTCCAATCCTGCAATCTTAGGTATCCTTATTACATTTTATCTTATTTTTATTTTATTTTTCTCAAACTTTTCATCACCGAAAACGCGTGGCAGGGTAAGACTGATTCTCGCCTCAGTTCACTCCCCATATACACCAGCCCTTGCACATTTTTCCATCAGAGACCCGCCTGTGTACCAGATGATCCCATTCGGTCTGAGAAAGTCTCAGTCAGGCTGGCCAGTTGTTTCTCGCAGGAATAACAGCCCTATATTTTCAGATAGGGCTGACGTATTTGGCATCCCGTCTGGTGAAAAGTCCCGTCTAAAGTAGCAGTCCAGGAATTTTTGCGCAATTGAAAATCTGCTCCATTTGTTCATCAGAAATGATAGTCAAGCAATAAAATAGTCTTGAAAATCTAGGCTCCTCCAAAGAAGAACTTATATTCACCATTCAAGTTCCTTTCTAAAAGATTGCTCATTTATGCATATCAATAATATTATTGTTCTGCTTCAGGAAAACCAAACACTTAAAGTCCTAATTGAGCACTCCGTTAACTTCGTACCAGAAGCAACGGTAATGTCAACTTGATCTCGAATATTTATATGCTTATATTACATTCTAGTGATAATAAATGTTTACGGACGAACGCCTTTTAATAATATAATGGCTATAATGTTAAATAATGACATTAATAAATGCCATTCTGGCTTCTTTATCCCAATAACTGTTAACGGTAATTATTTATAATCAGCCGCCCATTAAACGTTTTGCTATTCGGTGTTTGAAATTGCCACATGTCGAATAACGTTTTGTATATTTTGATAGTAAATCATTCTTGAAAGTGTATAAATTTTACAAATAACGTTCGGAAAAACATCTTGATAAATTTATAATTTGGAATTCATTAATTATGAAATATGTCTAGGGAGCTTATGTTTAAATGCATTCAGGTCTCTGTATAAATTTAAAGATAAGAGGTCAAGTTATTGGTAATACCTTTTTTAGATAGGAGAGGAAGGATTTTAATAAAACTCTGATATAAAATAAAAGTTATATTTTTGAATGAAGAAGTAGGTACCCAAGAGAAACCGAACTATTACGTTGTGACCTGTGAAAAAATCTTCAATTTAAATAATTTTACACTCTGAGAGGAAACAACTGGGCCAAATGAGAAATGAAATTGTAGCATACCCACCACTGACATCCCCACATGTAACCCATCTTCAAGTTCCACTACTTTACATTTCAGTTCAGTTATTGTTCAAAGAAGCAATCGAACATCAAAACTTCAGCCGAAATCGAGAAATTATATGCTCCATTAACAGAAGGAACATGATCATTGAAATTTTAACCAGAGGTTTACGGTGTCAGGTGCAACCGTGCCTTATAGTGTTGATCTTGGCATTAAGTTAGGTAAACAGCAATAAAAACTGTTACATAAGTGAGACTTTCGAATCTTCAAAGAAACCTACTGAAAGTCAAGGTGTAATTCAATAAACATCTACCCCTGATTTTTCCATTAAGCTTCAAAATTCTCCTCCAAGTACTTTTAATTGATGGCGGTCAGGCTTCATTACTTTGTTGAACAACTTTTTTGGTTCAAACTTGACCCCGAGTTCAATTTCAGCTTTCAGAACTTTCTCTGGTAAATCTGTTGATAATTGAGATATCTTCATGACTTCTGGTAATATGTCCAGGTCCAGCTTCATTTTATGTTGTGAGTCATTTCTTGGAGAAACTGTATACCACATACAGTTTTGTTCACATCGATTAAATCCCTGACTACTGATTAATAAAACTCAAATCGTTTCAGTAAAATCGCGTCTACATTTTTTTTGCATCATCATATTAATACGAGCGGCAATGTCTTTCAAAGTAAAAAATTGCTTTATAGTGCGCTCATTGAAGAAGACTTAATCGTTTATTCATGATCTTCATTTACTACACATTAAACGTTACAATGTATTAATGTAAATCTGATCAGAAGCCAGCTAAGATTAAATTGATTGATAATAACGATGTAAGATCGAAATGATGGTACAATTCCGATGAGATTAATGCGAATATCATTTATACTGACCGACTTAAGTTTCAATCAGGTATGTTGCGTCGAGCAATTTGTCATAATTTATATTAATAAGTGTTACAGAAATGAGAGCAATAAATTTACTGGATTATTGGATACTTTGTATAATTAGGTAAACCAGTTGAGACGAGATTATTTTTAATAAGGTATTGCTTCTTTTTTATAAGCTCACGCAAGTCTTATTTATACACCATGTAAGTGATTCGTAATTTGGTAAATCAGATTTTCCTAGTTAGTAGTAGTAGGTAGTTAGGTACTTACATCCTTTGGTAGGAATTATAATCATGTTCTGGTTCCTGTCGTCGCCTTCCGCTCTAACTTCCCTTTCCTTCCCATCTTTATCTTTCACAGGCTTGATTTCAAACGAGTACGTGGTAGCCATTCTCAAACCTTTAATGTCTGCGGAGTATTGTTTTAATTCTTCGTCTCCTGGAAAAAAAAGTAAATTTCTTACATTCAATAAAACTCTACTTTTATATAATTATTGACGATGAAGAAGTTAAGAAAATATACTTAATTCGATTAAAATTCAGTCAAGCAATAGTTACACATCAATAATGAAAGATGTGAATAGATAGAAACCAATAATTAGGAATTCTCCAATAAATATCATATTATGCAATCTCTTTTCACTGTGAAAAAGTGTGTTGTGCGTGCTGTCCCTATCCGACGTGCTATTACTGCATGGATGGCCCCTTCAAAAAATAAACCGCCAAGGTGTTCTCACTGTGAAAAAGCAATTCAGAGCAATGCCGCATCAATATAATGTTGTTCCTGTCTGTCTTGGTTTCACAATACAGCAATAATTCCCAGTCTGACTTTAGGAGAACAAACACCCGACGCTCTATTGGTCACGGTGCTGCTCCTTCCCTGGATTTGCCTGGCGGCAGCGACGAAGTGCCTAAAAATTCTAGAACTCATAACCAAGTTTCGTTGAATGACATCATGGACAAGTTGCTGCAAATTGAATCTCAACACGCTGATTTGCTCACTAAATATGAGGTCCAAGTTGAAATTAATGATGAACTTAGATAAGACATAGCTGACATCAGACGCCAACTTTCTGCTAATAATGGTATCACCAACCCTGCTAATACTCTTAATCCGGAAAACGAAATATTTCGAGAGGTTTTTCAAAGGCAAACACGCATAAATAACTTTATGGTTTTTAACCTAGGCCTCGAAGAAGATACTCCTGAATTGGTCCAAATTTCGTCACTGCTGTCCAGCAAAGTTTCTCGACCAGTTGAAGCGTCTAGCGTCGTAAGGGTTGGAAAACCTAATCGTAATGGTCATAGACCATTAAAAGTCACCCTTACAAACGCCAGTGATGTATCAACTGTGCTAAAAAATAGAAGAAAATTTATCGACACCCATCAAGTCTACATCGAGGCGGATTTATCACCGGCACAGCTTAAACAACTTAACGACACAAAAGAGGAACTACGAGTTAGGCGAGCCAACGGGGAGGAAAATCTTATTTTAAGCAAAAAACCCGAACCCCGCGCCACTTCAACCAACGAGTTAACCTGCACATACCAGAATGTTCGAGGTCTCCATACCAAAACTAACAGATTTTACACCAGCGTGGCTTCCTCTGGATACGATATAATCACTGTTACCGAATTCTGGCTTCAGCCTGATGTTCTGGACTCAGAACTCTTTCCAGACTCTTACATAGTTTACCGCTCCGATAGAAGAACTGATTTGATGAATGTCTCCAGGGGAGGTGGAGTGATTATTGGTTGCCACAGCAGAATTAACTCGGAGCTTCTGGATCTTGGTGATATTGCTGGTGTACGAATGTACCGAACATTGACTTTTTAGGTTTAAATTTGTATTTTATGTAGTTATTGTATATATCTCCCCCTCTATATCCAGCTTCGAAACAGATACTTTTTTCGAATTTCTTGCTTCAATGAATATTATGCTTCACAAAAATCTAATTTTGCTGGGAGATTTCAATGTTCCTTCATTTTCAGCACCTATTCCTCTGGGCTCTAGACACAAAGGATTATTAAATTTCAGCGAGTTTCTTGGTCTAAGACAGTATAACACTATTCCAAATTCCAACAACCGTTTCCTTGACCTGGTGTTTGCAAACTTTGAAATAGACATTGAATATAATGTTGCACCTCTAGTCAACGAGGACCTACATCATCCAGCTCTGATTTTTGATATCCTCATGCAGTCAACTTTCCTGTAAACAACGATAACCCACCCCAATTTAACTTTCGTAAGGCGGACTATCCTAGGCTGTATGAGTCGATGCTGCACACAGACTGGTCGCCCATTACTGAAATTTCAACTGTGTCAAATGCGTGTGAAGCTTTCTATGATATCCTCCATAATATTTTTTCTGCTTGTATACCCCCTAAATTGCCTAGGCGAAGGCGTTTTACCTCCTGGTTTAGCAGGGAACTGATTGATAACATCCTGAGGAAGGAAAGGGTGCGTCGTCATCTTCAAACCCACCAGTCCGCTTATTATTATAATAAGTTCAAGTCACTGCGTAGCCTCATAAAAACTCAATCTCAGCAAGCTTATAAGGATTTTATCAGGAGTGCCGAATTAAATATCAAGAGCAACGCCTCCAATTTTTGGTCTTCAGAGTAAAAAGTTAAAAGACACAGTCACGCATACCCGCCGCTATGCATTTGGCTGACCGTACCCTCAATAAACCCCAGCTTATCGTTTCCGCCTTTGCTAACTTCTTTAAGAGTGTCTATAAGAACTCGGAGCAAGCTGAACATATCAGAGCTTTCGAAAACTCCGAGCTGGTTGAAATCCCAACGGTCACTATTGAGGACGTCACCGGTGCATGCAAGATTTTAAAGGACAAAGCTACATCTGGTCCAGACGGCATTCCTAGCTTCTTTGTAAGAGATTGCTCTGTTGTTCTAAGTAGTCTCATCTGTCACATTTTTAATCTGATATTAAGAAACGGCGTATTTCCAGATGTCTGGAAGATTGCCAAAGTTTGCCCTATTCTAAAAAAGGACGACCCATCTCAAGTTGAAAATTATCGTGCTATTTCTATTCTGTGCAACTTTTCCAAAGTATTTGAAATTACCTTACATAAACATTTATTCTTTTTAATTCAAAACCGACTATCACTTCATCAACTCGGCTTTTATTCCAAAAGATCATGTAACCTTTGTTCCTTTTCATTTTATGTATGTGATGCTCTTAATGATAGGAGTCGGGTCGATGTGATCTACACCGATTTTCGTAAAGCTTTCGATCAAATTGATCATCACTTACTTCTGCAGAAAGCATTTAGCCAGTTTGGTTTTTCTAACAGACTTGTTTCAGTACTAAAATCCTACCTCTTGGCTCGCCGACAATTTGCTGAGATCGAGGGTTTTAGATCAGACCTATTTGTGCCAACTTCAGGGGTCCCCCAGGGCTCCAACTTGGGGCCGCTTCTGTTTAATATTTTCATCAACGACCTTATTTGTATGACGGACGGAAACAGCGTTGCATATGCTGACGATTTAAAAATATATAGCCGCATCGATGCTGTCGCCGACTGTGTATCCCTCCAAGCTAGTACCAATGAGGTCAGCCAGTGGTGTGTTTCCAACAGACTGGATCTCAACATCTCTAAGTGCAATGTTGTCTCTTTTTCTCGAAGAATTAATACTATTCAGTGTAATTATTCCATTCGAGGCTCGATCTTGGACAGTAAGTCAACGGTGAAGGACTTGGGGGTGGTTTTTGACGAGAAGTTGTCTTTTGTTTCTCATATGGATCAGATGGTGACTACCGCTTCAAGAACCTTGGGCTTTATAATAAGAAACTGTAAGCATTTCTCTAACGTTGCAACTTTTAAGCTCCTATACTATTCTTGTGTTAGATCAAGGTTGGATTATGGTTCTGTTGTGTGGTTCCGTATCTATGACTGTCATCGACAGTCTGTGGAGTCAGTTCAGAGGCGATTTTTAAAATATGTGATATTTAGGGAGGATGCCATTTACCCTCAGCGTGGCCTCGACCATGGTCAGATTTTAGCCAGATTTGGGGACCTGCCCCTGGCTGTACGACGAGACTCTCAATCAGTATTCTTTCTACACAAGCTTCTGAATTCTAAAATTGACTGCCCATTCTTGTTAGAACAATTACCATTTCACGTACCCCGTGTAGAATCCAGACATCAACCAACATTTTCCTGTTCTTTCGCGTGATCAAACGTTCTGCTGCACAGTCTTATTCATAGAATGTGTCTCAATTTTAACAGAGTATCTGATCTGTGCGATATAAACCATGACAGTCTCCCAACAATCCTAAAGCATTTCCAGGGGGTATCTGGTTTTCCTATCCAGTAATTAAGTTAGGGCATGTATCTACGTGTATATTGTTTTTCATTATTATTTAGTTTTCAAATTTAATTTAGTTTATGTATTGTATATTAATTTGAATTTCCTGTAATTGGGCTTTGACCTGTTGGAAATATATGGCTATTTATTTATTTATTTATTTATTTATTTATTTATATTTATTTAAAAAGTTTGCTCGACATTCGATTCACCATCCTCCTTTTCCTTATTTCCAAGATTCTGTAAGAAATTTATTTCAATGCAGACAATTCCGCAGGATACATTATTGTTTGACTATAACAATCCATCCATAATCTGCTCAGTATGCTTGGTCGCTGTAAATGGGTATGGAACATGTGGTACAGTTTGGGAAGGGCGCCACGGAGTTTCGAAAATTTAATTGAAAAAACAAATTGAGTAATGCAGATATTGAAATTGCAATTTTATAAGAAATCATCAGAATAAGGACCTACCTATTTACAATTTGGAATAGGAGCTCCTGTATAACTACTAAATTATATAATGGGAAAATCTGTATAGGTAGGTATAATGATTATTAGCCAATCAATCATAATCACTAAGAATCAGCGACAAAAATGCCATTATCAAAAATGTACTCTTACATTTGATGCACTCTTAATGGCTAGTAAAAAAAATGGTTCATAGTTTTAAATGTTCAAAATTAACTCTTAAGTTAAATAAACAATTAGACATATACTCAACTGTAGGTACCTACAATAATCTTAAATAAGCAAATAGGAATATACTTAGTGTAAATTAACCATAAACCTAAAAATAAATAAATAGAAAATTTAATGATGTGTAAATTAATTCCGTGGCAGTTAGTCAATCACAGATTTGGATTCAAAAAGGTAGGTATGGATTGAAAATCAATCAAATATCGAGATACAGGGGAATAATGCAAAATGATCACAATTTGATCGTTTGCATGAGCAAGATCTAGAAATACCTCTGACCTGGTCATATCGCATTCCGCCGGTTTTAAGATATAAACCTAATGCAAAAGGGGAAAGTCAGAGATCAAAGACCATCATCACTTTATTCAGAGTCCAGGAATAAATAAAGAACGGTCGATCGAATAAGCTCAACAGTATCAAGAGTTTCCCACTATCTACTAGCTAACTGCTATGTAATAAGATATGACTTTATTGCTACTGTCATTTCTTATTTTGTGTGTATTGTATACTACTCAGAGACCTATTTCAACTGATATCATTGACTTTTCCAATGTCATTGAATGATTCTCTAGGAACGAAAAACATAATATTTTGAATTTGAATTGAAAGTTTACTTCTAACTGATGATTTCCACGCATCGGTGAATTCTTTCTCGATAAGAAGTTGTAAAACCAACAGACACTAAACAACTTTTTTTCCTATTTCGATTTATATGCGCTGTTAAATTTTATGATGGCAACTCGGTTTGTGTAAATTTCAAATTACCAGAATAATTAACTTCTTGAGCGGAATCTTATCTGTAGGTACTTATAACAAGGCTGCATCTGTATAGTCTACACTAAATTAGTTTTTTTTGTCGACTGAGCCAATGATGGATAAAAAATAATAATTTCTGAACGTCTATTTTTGAAGCCGGGAAACAGCCTTCTCACGAGAATGATTACTTTGTTGTGCAAATGTGAATATGAGTGAAAAATACAGCCATGGGAACTCTGGATCTCCTGTTTCGGGAATGAGGACCCTGAGCAGTGATGCTAGAGGATTACCAAATGATTTTGTAAAATAGCAGTCTGTTGAAAAATACATATTTCTCATATACAAATAATGAACATTCCCAGTTGTTGTGGAAATTACCCACAAGTTTAAATTTTGTAATTTTTAATTTAATATAATATTCCTCTCTATTATTTACCATAAAATAATATTCTAAAAATAGATGCCTGTAAAACCGGCAACAACAGCCCTTTGAATCGGTAAAATTACAGGTTTCTACATTACCTTATAAGGCAGTGGAGCTTTTTCGCTGCTGTGATTGGTCAGCTGCCACATTGTTTTCTAGATTTTTGCGACCTGCTCCCTGGCAGAGCTAGTCGACACACATTCTTCAGTACTTTTAGAATAGGTAGGCGAGAAGTTCGCACCCTCGCGCCCTCTAAATGCTCTTCAGAGGCAAAAACCCCCGTTAGTACGCGCGATTTATAGTAAAATACTACTCTCAGTGTCCCAAGGCCTGACATGGTCTATATTATTGATTACAATTCATGTAATTAACCCCTAATTGTTGCAAGTCACCTCGGACGAGCAAAATTCTCTCGTACGCTTGTTTTTGCACACGTATTCTCGACAGGCTACAACACACCTGTATATCATTGTGTTTTCCTCACATCTCAGTGGAAAATTCCCTAGCTGCCAGTGTGAATAGTTGTGATAAATGGATAAATCATCGCCTTGTGGATTGATCTGCATGAATCGGATTAAGGAAGTAAGATCGTTACAATTTCTCTAACAGTCGAACAATAAATACTGATTAGTGATTCGCTTGAAATGCACTATAAATTGAAGTGTTTTCTAACGCAGGAATTTGGTTTTCACACTCGTGAAATTAACATTTGTACATTTGTATATAGAAACTGAGCATATATAAAGACTTTTCTTGCACATATTGTTCACAGACTTCAGCAGAAAAGTGCTCAAATTGTCAACTCTTTAATTACTTTCATTTATTAATTAAATTGATAACTATTCTATTTCAGCGTTTTATTTGTATAAATATGAATCCAGGCACCCCTAACCCAATACAAGGCTTAAATGATCCAACACATAATGGTTACCTAATTTTTACAGTCAGTCAAAGTGAAAACTTTTGGCGTCCCTGGTGCGGTTTGACTAAAGCCCAAACAGGGGCAATAGCTAGTTCCGTCACACCAGTTGAGCTCTCAAAGTGGTAACACGTTTTCACCAAGAGAGATCTCAATTTTGCTAAGTTTGTTTGCACCGAGGGGAATGTTGACTAGTGCCATTGCCCAAAACTATACCAAGCTGCCAGTGTTTACCGAGTGCAGAAAGTTAAAGTCAGTTGCGATAGTGAATCAATGTGAGTGCTTCTTCGTCCAACTACTTCCAAGATGTCAAACCTGACGCTAGAAGAATGGCAAGCCAAGGTAGCCCGCCAACTCGAAGAGCTGCAAAAGGACAACGAGGCTCTGGAAAGTGACCTGGTACAATTGCAGACAGACAATGCCAACTTGAAACAAGAGCTGGAACAAGTCAAGAGCGAAAACTTGAAGCTTAAAGTAGCGGCCAGCGCGTTCTACACTGCCGACAATGTGAAGACTGCCAAAATAAACTGCTTGTTCAAGCTGGTAGCGCAGCAATATATGGAGATAGTAGACAGCTCCTCGAGAACGAGTACGACGACTTTGCGTCACTAAAACGCAGAAACAGACGCCACCGAAGCAAGTCGAACAGCAGTGACGAATCCACGCAACCACCCAAAAAACAGCAAGCCAATTAACAAAATTCCGCTACGATGGATGAGGAGCCAGCGACATCCACGAAAATCGTAAGTCAACGAACTAAACTTACTCCCCAATCCCCCGCCAGAAAAGGCTTCCAGCTTAAGCCACCCTCAGTCGCCCCAACGACAGTAAGCCAGCCACCAAAACAGGAGCGAATCCCTCCGATTGTCCTACGAAACAAGTCAAAATATAACGACCTAACCGCCCATTTCAAGCTGAACCAAATCAACTTCAGAAACGCTACAAACACCAGCGAAAGAATAAAAATCCACCCCTCTACAATGGACGAATTCCGAAAAATCCAAGCTTTGCTGAAGGAAAACAGGGAACCTTTCCACACATTCAGTTTCAGACAAAAAACCTAAAGTCGTCGTCAGAGGTCCGTCAGAAACGTGGTCGACAGACTACATCAAACAACAGTTAGAAGATCGAAACTTCCACCCTACCACTTTAATAAGGTGGTACAAAGCCGACGAAGAACCAGTACTCCTAGTCCTAGTACTGCTCTTAGCCTCCGAAACGAAAATCAGGGTTGAAATACAGAGGTCACAGGCAAGATCAACTCGATGCCAGGCCCTTACCAAGTGCGTGAAGTGTGGGGGTGACCACCACTTGCACTAAAACCAGAGACACGACAGACACCTGCGCAAACTGCGGCGGCGAACATCCCGCATCCCACCAGGGCTGCCCCAAGCACCCCAAACTCCTTAGAAAACCGATGTACAAGCCAGCCTTTCCATCCAACTTCGTATGGGGACAGCAAAAAAGAACGAATTTAACGGAGGCGCCACAACAACGACCAACTATGCTACAACGACCAACTAACCATATCGCCTCGACTGAAGCTTCCTTGGAAACTATAATGCAACAGATGGAATCACTCCAGCAGTAGCTGAACGCCATAGTAAAGTCAAGAAACACACCACTGAATTGTTAGTCGTCCCCAAGCAGCGATTAAATACTGCAAAATAGCTACGTGGAATGCAAACTCAATTAAACAAAAGAAGCTAGAGCGTTCTGTGTCTTTTTTTATTTAATGAAGTTTTCGTATTATTACCTCTTTGTCTGGTAAAATAGATAGGTCTATTTTTCCCGTTGTAATTTAGAAATTTTGCAATTTTCATAATGCGCTTCAAAGATTTACAAATGTTTATAAACTATTATGTAATGAATAAACAAAAGATACCTAACACTTTGCACGAAATATTGCAATTTGAAAAAACAATCAAAAATAAGGAAGTTTTTTATTCCAAGAATGGTCCAGGAGGATTTTTTTAATTATTTTTCCAGGGTTACTCAAAGGGTCCCCTACTACGTGGAGAGCTTTTACGCTATTTTCCGGACACCCTGTATAGCCAATTTAAAAAATATATATATACACAAATAGTGAATAGGTGTGTGCTTATTTGTCTTGTAAATCATCACAAGACTCATCTTATTCCAAAGGAAAGATAGTTGGATGGTTTAAGGCGAGGTCAGGCGTGCTCGGGTCCCGATTCACAAGGCAGCCTTGTGGCTTATTGTGCTTCCCCCTGTCTTGCTTGTATTCTTCCAAATAATGCAAAGGCATTCCAGGAGTCCTTTTTAGCCTTAGGGCTTTGTTATATTCGGTTAGCGATTGGGCGTAGCTGTCTGAGTCGCCAGTGAATTCCGCCCTGTTGAATAGTTTCCTAGTGCTGGTCCTCAGGTGAGCTAAGTGAATGTTACACCATGGTACTTCCATCTTGGTTCCTTTGGTCTTAAGATGACATTTGTCTTCATAAGCGGTTATGAAGTTGGTTCACACATAAGTAGATATCTGCGATTTCTCTCGGGTTGGCGTTGAAATGACACAACTCATAGCCTAACATATAATTTTTCAACTTGTTTAACTTGTTCTTAATTTGATGTCTAGGCTTAAATAACATTTAAATCATCCACCTATGTAGATTGCTGTCGAGTTTCAGATGTTATTTCTTCGGTATAAAGCGGGTAGTGTAAAATATGTGTAATTGAACTATTTTTTTGTTCTAGTCAATAATAGTCAAGCTTAAAAATTTCAACAGGCTCACTGAAGCAGGATGTAGCAAGCCCAGAGGCTTCAACATAAATTGCCATGCCCTTAGGTACTAATTTATTCACCAGCATTATAAATATCCGCATGCAATTAACTTTTTTCACAGGTAATTTCCCGTTGTTTTATTTATCTTTCGAAGTAATTTGATAAATATTTATGAATCTAACAAAAACTTACCATCAATAAAATTCTTCTCTACAGCCGTATTGTTGACCAACTGGAGTCGACACCTTTGCTGACCCCAAGTTTGAAGCTCGCAATATCTGACATTGTAGCCGTTTTTCGGTAGTGCAGATTTTTCAATTTCCCAGTGTAATCGTACTTGCCGGTAATCCGGTTCTCCTATGAAATTTTTGATTGCTGAAAATAAAAAAAAAAAACGAATTAAGCAAGCGCCAAATTCAATTTTCTTCCTGATTGGATTTCAATGAATTTGGTAGCTAATTATTTGAAACAACATTATATATTGATGTTTTTGTTATGTTGTGTTCTAGCTAGACTAAACAACCGTAAAATCCTATTATATCTTCAAGGTCTCAATCAGTGCCATTACATTACACCTGATGTCCAATTAAATTATTCATTGAACTTTCCCAGGACAATAATGGTGCCTTTGTTTTGATCATCATTATTCTATTTTTTTTTTCACCAGGAACTAAATAGTAGGTCCAACAACAGATACATAAATTTTCTACCTAATTAGGAAGATGTGAGGGAATTTTTGTTTGTAAGACAATTAAATAATGACTTCATCCAAAAATGTATTCTATAGTGGAGGGAGTACAGTTTTTATAATACAATGGTGTGTTAATGTAGATGTTTTAAATTAAATGATCAAAGACTTAAAATGTTGCAAAACTCGTTCTTTTAACCCATAAATACAATACCATTTAATAAATTAGGGATATTACAGTATATAAGGTAAGGCATAATAATAAATATCAGATCTTTTATAGGGATAGGTTCTTAATCCTTTTGTATTAGGACCGTTAAATGACTGTGATAAAGAAATTAAGGCGTGGTATAGACATTGTGGGGATCAAAGCTAGAGTATAGGTGAAGCATAGACTTTGGTGAAGCCAAGCCTACAACAAAAGGGTCTCATGCCGATAAAATTTACCTGTTGATCATGGCTTTGTCGAACGGTTCAAAAAATGTATTTAATCCATAGCATGTTTGGGAAGTTTGATGAGTTGTTTCACTCTCAGAAGTTATCCGAAGAAGTTGAAGTCAGTTGATTTACAGACAGAATTTGACAGATTATCCTTGCTCAAAAATATTGGAAAAAAATTGGAAAGTTTCTCGATTTTGAATAATTGAGTTGACGTAAGAACATAGTAGTACACGTTGATTTTTAGATTTTTTTTTTGTAAAACTGTTACGCACATTCTAAATCCTCATCAAGCCTTTCAAAAACCCTTATATGGGATAAAACGAAAACTATTTCTCTAATAAACTAATAACGTTGAATAATTAAAAAAAAGGAAAGGAAGAAATTTTTGATTTTTTTTTGAAATTTTTGTAACTATCTAATTTTCTAATTATCAATTTTTTTTTTTAAAAATTTTAATCGTTACTGTAGTGGAAAGCGATGCTTCAAGACACACGTATAGAATAATAATGTATATTATTCTTTCAGCCCTGAAGAAGGCCTAATATAAGGCCGAAACGTCGGTGAATTTTTAATCCAGGAGTTTGATTTTTGTCCTAAACCTCACTATTTTCATCCACTACTAATAAAAAAACCCTTCTCAAAAACCAATAAAGACATCATCAAGTTACTAGGTACTAAAACCGTTGATTCTGCAAATTGCCCGTGATTCATTAATGAAAGTGTTTCTGCCGAAGAGCAGGATGTAGGCTGTACGTAAAATCGTGAAAGAGAAATTAATAAAATTATCATTGGTAGTCTATTTTCAGAAATGTGCGTATTAAACTGATTCAAAATAATTGCGAATCGGTATCCGGCTGTTGGGGCGGTATAAGTGGGATATTCAATAATAAATTATTGCTGTTTACAATCATGGGTGTTTGTGAATGAATTAAGATATTTGCGCGCAATTTTCAACCTACAAATTGATTTTTAAATTATTTTGTATTTCAAGTTTGGAACTTCTAAATTACAAAAAAAAAATTACCACCCAAGTAGTGGCGACATCGAAGCTACCACTATAAAGAGCCAATGCTAGATTTACAATTCACCTTTCACATCTCTTTCCTAATAGGTACAAATATTGAGTCACTTTTATTACCGTGACAAATCTTGGTCATTCCTACCTGCTTCATTGCAAATTTCACTTGTTTCACGCTCTGCCTTCTTAATTTTAAGTTTTTTTTTTATTGTTTTATTTCGTGGTACTAAGATTGTTGACTAGATCCAAGCTGATTGGAATACCAATCTTTGTTTATACTTAATTCATAAAATAATTATACTGATAATAATAAAGAAAGAATAATATTAATAATAAGCTTGAAAGAAATATACAAGCAAGGCGCATATTCAGTAACAATTTTGGTGAATTAGAATTTTAGTAACCCAGAGTGCACTTTTACTAAAAATTATTCGAGTTTTTGAGCAAGTTGCCTGTCGAACTCTGCCCATGGTTTAAGAGGAAGGAGAAGGTAACAAGGAACAAGATCAGTTAAATGATGATATCACTCCATCTTTCGAAAGTTTGACATTTGCTTTCGGAAAGTTTGCACGGTTTTACTGGAATCTGTGAAGCTTGGAGTCTGGTTTGTATCAATAACACCAATGCTGATAATAATTTGTTGTCAAAAGGTTCATGATAGTGATGATATGTTCAAACTTAGATTATTCTGCTTATTTTAACGCAGTCGTGTGATCCAGTGGGAAGCAATTCTGCTATGGTCAAGACTATGGATGACGGAATAATGAACAGGTTCTCAAGCTGATGCTCAACATTCAAAAGCGTTCTCAAACTTTGATGCGTGTAAAACGGTTTCCAACTCAGAGAAACAAGTTACAGGAGATGCTATCGATAAGATAGGAATAAACCTATTATAGCGTGTAGCTCCATCTCTTGGAAGTCTTTACAAAGCGATACATACTAAGAAACGAACCGTTTCAGATAGGGATGCTCCAGAGAAGAAAAGATTGCATCTTCAGAGTGCTGATATCACCTAAAAATCCAAACCGAAGACAATTTTTTGATTCAGAAATTACATTAGGAAGTGCTTCAAAACGCTGGATATCAAAGGAATTGGTCGACATTAGATGGAAATAGTAGCAAAGGATTTCAGTAAATACGGAAATATGTACACTGGAAGATATACCGGTCTGGCAAGTCAACATCTTACGGGCCAATTTTAATGCAATTAGGCCATTCAAACCACGTGACATTCAAGATGGCGTGGCGGCCACACATGGGCCAAAAAACACAAAAAAATTTCTAGTTTTTGCCCGAATTAATAGTTTAGGTATCTAGTTAACAAATATTTTATTAAATAATGAAAATCAGAGCAAAACTCTATGCAAAATAATTTAAAATACGCATAAAAACATATTCAAAACAAGCTTGCTTGGCCGCCACGCCACATTGAATTTTTCTTTTTGACAGATGGATTGAATTGCCTTATATCATGAGATATCTAGAAAAAGTGGTTAAATAGAGAACGAAAATGATTTCCCCTGTTCCAACTCCAGCATTCCCGCACCGCTCCATGCTGGAGGTGGATCAGGTGAAATTGTTTTCGTTCTCCATTTAACCTTAGAATTTACCTAGACATTTCATTCTATTGCACTGAAATTGGCCTGTAAGATGCTGACTTGCCATACCTGTATATAGACAGCATTCGACAAAGGAAAGTGCATTGAATGGACTCTCGAAATCTCTATTGGAAATGCTTTTCCAACGCGACTAATTTTTATTGTTAACTTGGTCACAAAGGTATTCAGTTTATTCACTTAACTTGGAGCAGAGAAAAAAGTATTGGGTGAAATGATAATTGGCCAAATACTGGATGTAACCAGCACCTTTGGTTATACCTATTTATTCTACATTTGTTTTGTTGTGGTATTTAGCACAATAGGCTATCCAAGTCATCACATGTAGGTGAAGTCGAGTCCTAATTTTTGATATACAGGGTATTTGGTACATCGATAGGTAGTTTTCAATGTGTGATAGGTGGGGTTATTTGTAAAAATGCTGATATCTCAAACAACAAAACTTTGCATACGGGCTAATATGATCAAACAGCTTCCAAATGGCCATAATTATCACTCATTGAAAACTTCCTATCGATATACCAAACACCCTGTATATTCCTTTCATATAATGCTCAACCGTTCCTCTTTGTCTCTGCAACCAGCTCAACCAGCAATGATGAAAATCTAGAAATTTTCTTTGACAACGGAACATTATTATCATAGACGACTCTAATGCCAAATCAGGTAGCAAGGACGACATTGAGCACAACATTGGTAACTTCGGCTACAAATCCAGATACTGAGAGAGGAGAGAACCTGCAGAAATACCTAGCAAGGACAACACAATATGTAAGTACATGTTCTTGGCAGTTTCTTCAAGAAAAAAGTGGATCTGGTTATCACCAGACCGTAAAATAAAATAAATCACTTGTTATCTGAAAGTAAATATATCTTTGAAGATATTTGGTATTTGTTATTCCGGGTGTGCTGTTGGTTCTTTACGACGTTCTGGCCGAATCATATTGGAAAATTTCAAGTCTTTTTCCTTCTGGTTTAGTGTGTGGAATCAAACCAATCGCTTATCAACTCCTAAGGAGAGGTACCAACCTGTTGAAGAGGCTGAGTTTTGTCATGGATTCACTACTTCTCAACATCTCTTCATGAAAAGTCGCAAAGAAAAAGCCAAACACCATCTTCTCCTCTATCTCGTTTTCCTGGACTATAAGAAATCAATAGAATACGATAAGCTATGAGCTATAAAAAGAGCAATGATCAACTTCCAACTTGACTAACCATATTATGGACAGCTTATTCATAATGTCTACAGCATGTCACATTGACAGTACCTACTGATGAAAGAGAACAATACGCGTATCACTGGCAATGGATGAGAAATAAGACTGGTCTTGAGGAAAATACGAATAACGCCGATTTGAAAGAGTCAGCAAACTATAAGCAACCAAATAGCGGAAACATCATGAAGAACAAACATGGGTAGATTTTGGCAAGCTTTCATGGATCCTGAAGAGCCAAATGATTTCGCTTCACCTAAGGAGCAGAGTGCAGATATTAATCAGACTTGGACATTTACGAAGAATGATGCTGACCTGACAGACTATCTGAGTCTCAAAGGGCTATGAAGCGGATGTTGCTAAAGACTTTCCGACAAACAACACTTGAATATGAGCGC